AGGTTCTTGTTGTTATGGTATACGTAATTCAAACAGGTATTATCGATTAGTATAGTAGTCAACTAGTCATTATATCTTACCATTGTAGTAATTGTTAGTAGATCCAGTCAATGTAGATACTAGTACAACTGATAGGATCATCAATAGGGCATTCATGTTCTTTCTTGGGGTATTCATCTTCTTTCTCAATAATAATGTTTTTCCTGCTAGTGATGTGTGTGTTCTTCTAATGTTTTGTTGTTTACATTAGTTTTTGTCTACACATAACATTATAAGTTCTTGTAACCATGCATATGTTATCTGATGCTCACAAATGATGTGCAGTGTTTTCCATATTAGGTTTATATCAATGTTAGACTTTTATGCACTCATCAGAAAATAATTCTTACTTTTATAATTGAAAAAACAAGTTTCTTTTTAATTTTAATGTAGTCTAGCCTTACTTTTTAACATATTAATGGCTATATGTATCTATGAAGCATTCAGCCAAATTATTGAAGTACATGTAAATCCATACAATACTTGTAAATGAGCCATCATAAGCTTTATTATGTATTTTGGCTTACATTTAATTCTTAACCTAAAACAAGAGAATTTCATATTATTATAGGAGCAACACGAATAGTCATTCAAATTAATCATAGTTTGATTGTGTTATGTTAAATAATGTAACAAGTTATTCATGATGAATCTAACATTATCATCAAAGGGCAATAAGGTACGAGAGAAAAAGAGAGAATGTGAAGTAGACTGATTTCTAATTTTTACTGTTTAGATTAGTTGCTGTAGCATTGGGACGCTATAGCAAAAGCATTGCTACTGGATTGGACAGTGTAGCTGCTTGGAACAACTCTTCAGTGGACTGGACTATGGCTGCAAAAGTAAGATATCATATGTGATAGTAACATGATAGTCTCATGACACTATGTGTGTATAGGCTCACTGTCATTATCTTGTTTTGAAAGCCTTCCATTCAAGTATAGATGCAGCTAAAGTGTGTGAAGCTAATTGTAATATATTGAGAGTTTTGTGTTGCTTGTTTGGACTTCGTGGTATAATACAGTACAGTGGAGAATTCTGCTTGGTAAATAATGTACATTATACTGTGATCATTATGAATGAACTGTTATTTTAGGATGGTTATATGAATAGTGATCAGATTGAAATGGTTAAAAATCAACTTTATTCGCTACTGAAGGAAGTCAGGTAAATA